ACATTAAAAAATCCAATTTTTGTATGATATTTTAAGCATTAATAGTAATGGGTTTTCGTCTAACTAAATATATGTATCTATAAACACATTATATAATATATGCACGTGCATGAAATTCGAAAATAATGATAATATTATTAAAGAAAAAAAAAACTATAGCAGCAATTGAGGAGTACGTTTAGTGAGTTTTATCACGCAAAACTAAAATTATAAAACCAATAGAAACTATAGGAAACATAATATGCGGTAAACAATGTATGTATACTAAGTTCTAAAGTAATTTTCTTGGAACGACCTTCAGATAGAAAATAATTTAGTTTTCCCATATAACACTAATTTTACTATCGAAAAAAACTTAAAATTAACTCAAATATCATTTATACAATTTTTGTATCCAACAATTAATTTAAAGTCAAACAGCAGAAACCACGCTGGTGAAAACTCAATAAAAGCTCATTATTTCATTCAAACAATTTCTACATGTTCATAAGACGAGGATCCATTTTATATTATAGTATACCAAACCATGTTCAGTAGTGCAAATTTTTTACACGCATAAATGCATTATATTATGATAATATTTATAGTCATCGCAGACAAATTTCGTTTCGTAATACATTAGCAGGGCTGTGATTTTGCGGGAAGTTTTCAGAAGATTTAAGTACAGAAAATCTCGCAGACGACTGCTGGCCCGATTAATTATATATATTATACACATTACACACACACACACACACACACACACACGTCACACACACGCACACACACACATATATATATATCACAATAAAATGCATCGCACACACATCCTTTCGAAGCGCGTCAGACCGTAAAACAATAGCGTACCTACCTCTCTTGTGTATATACATATATTGCTTATACTTACGACAAACAGTCGGCGCTGTGAGAAATGAGTATACAAAGAAATAGTACGTACATAGCGAATATGTTTAGCACGTGGCCACCGTTTTGCAAGCTGCACGGACGATCGGGAGCTTTTATTGCACTCTGTACGATACATACTACACCATCGTATGTATAAAAGTTTGTGTGTGTGTTTTTATGGAGGTGAGACATAGTAGTTAACAATAAATCAGGCGCATGCGCAACTATACGAGTTTTTAAGATTTTTTGATTGATGTGCATGCCTTTGGTCTAAAAGTAAAAAAAATCGAATATTACATGAATATCTTATGAAACGAACTTCGAAAATTAATATTCGCCGTTGTACCCAAAACGTTCGAAAAATATGGAAACAAATTATGATGTAAGAAGTAAGACATATATATTATACTAACATAATAAGTAAATTTAAAGATAAATAAGGTGAGGATGGGTTTACAAAAGTATAATATCATACATTTAGACTATAATCTATGTTTTTTGTATAAAGATCTCCATTTTTATCACTTTTAAAAATGTCTTAAAAAATAATCAAAATGTGAGACTTTTGAGAAATCCATTAATAGAAGCTTCACACAATTATATTTATGGGTAGACACCTGGTATATGTATTACCATATTGAAAAATATTATATTCACAGACGCCAGAAGATGACACAAGAAAATATTGGAACTGAATAGCAAAAATAAACCATCTCATATTACAGTGATTAGTATGGAGAGGTTTATCTACTTTTATCCAGGTATCGTGTCATTATAAGATAAAATATAGATTACTGGAATTCCAAGGTTTATATTAATATACATTTTTTAAATTATTTGTGAAAACCAAATTCAAAAATGAAATACATCGTATAATAGATAATTTATATTAGGCATTTTAATTATTTTTCTTATTGTTTAAGCATCAACTACAAGATTATTAGATTTAGTGATTAAACATTTGCGAACTTAGATTATTTAGACATACGAAGTGATTATTACATTAGATTCACATTGCATGAATTAAGTTGCATTGTTATTTAATGCATACTAGGTATTTATTTTGTACATAGCTTTTGAAAATTTTTAAATTATAACCAATATATGATGTTTATTTGTCTATAATAAAATTATAAGATATTTAAAATGTTGTAGTTTTATGTCTAGCGGTTATTTTAGTACAAACTTTCCCAATCTCAAAAGAAAATGTATATTAGGTGAATATACAAAAATGTTGTTTCGAGATAATATTTTATTTCCTAATTCAACAAATGCAAGTTTTTATATCGTTCTATTCAAGCAAGGACTCAATATTTTATATTTCCAACTTCTTTAGTTTTCAATAATTATGTGGATTATCACACCGGACAAGTATCGCCTACAATGGCAGTAATAATATAATATATCTTTATAAAGCCAATCGCGTGTATCATGTTAAACGCATTCCTAAAGTGAAAACACTGTCATAGTAAATGTACCATATATAATATATTATTATTGCAGTATTCAATATTATAATATATTATTACTATGGTTGTCACTGTGGCCAATAAAAGCACAGCTCGATACATAGTAAGCCGGTTGGTAACAATATCGTTTTTTTTTTGGTAACCAATTTAATAATGCGTTAGATTTATGGGATCTCTCATCAAACGGGGTCCTGTGTAATAAATGTACCTACTGTGTGATCACGTTGTAAGCATCAAATATTTCGGGCAGATGAACTTAAATTTGCAATATTTTACCACGCATACTCAGAACATAACAGTACCTACCTATATTAAATTTTATTACACTTTTTCTGCAGTTTCACAACAATGAAAAAATATTTTTGAAGTATACCTGTTATGATTTCAAATTATCAAAGTTACAATTTCAGCAATTAGTATTTTTCACATTTTTTATTTTTGTTCTAGAAATACTTGAAATAAAAAATATTGGTTATCAAAGTTGTTTAAAAAAAAAAATAATGTAGTACAAATACAAACTCAAAAAGCGTAGATCAAATTAAAAATGTTTGCATGCATAGAAAAAAATTTTACCTTCACACATTTTTCAAAAATAAGTTCTAATAAGTATTGAATAATAATTTGATACATAAATTCTAAATATTAAGTTCTTTAAGTAGGTAATGAAAAAAAATTCGAATCAATCCAAAGTCATCTAGCCCGAACACTAAGTGTTATGTGAAATCGAGAAACCTCACTGTATATACAATTAAATGTATGAAAATACAATATTGTGACCATAATAATGATTATTAAGTAAATCAAAATGTAAGAGAGGAAATCGTGTATCATATAAATGTGGTGTGCTAAGATCTTACAAAATATTTTCATAAATTACAAACACATATATTTAAACAAACGGGTACGAGTGCGACCGAATGCGTTTTAATGAATATGCTTCCAAATCTAGTTATGATTAAAAATATTAAATTATGATTACAATTGCAGTTTTTTCTGTTACATTGTATTCTTTGTTTAAACCCACATGTATAGCTCATTAAAGCAATAATTGTTACGAACTCAAAACATTCATTAAAACTTTTCCAAAGAATTATCGGGGACTTTTGATCTTCATCAAAATGTACCAGTATAGAAACTCATTGGAAAGAATGAAAAAAAAAGATAAAATAACTTAAATTTATTGTATTTCATGACATTTTAAGTTTTAAAACTTTGTTTATTTTCCAAATGCTATTTTAATAAATACAACACTGATGTTTAAAAATGCAGTAGACATTGTTGTATAGCTAAATATTGTCTTTAAAAATATTATAGATAATTACTGTAGAATTAATACTGTAAAACGTAATAAGTTTCTATAAAAAAATAATTTAAAAACCCCTATCATACTAGCATAGGCTGCAATAGACAGCACTAGCAGAACAAACAAACATTTTTAATTTTCCTCTGTAATTGAACCACGCATAATGAAATCGTATATTTTATCGAAAGTTATCAGAGATATAAAAACGACATTTTTATTCAGTTAATTACATTCTTTATGAAGAGATGTTTTCCAGGAGTAAATTTGCGTAGGATAAAAATCACTGAAAACGTGGAGTTATAAGGTATGGATCAAGGCGTAAAATGTTGATATACAATAAGACAGACACCTATATCATACATGGGTATACTAGAGGAGAGGTGTATTGTCGATCTATTATAGAAATGTCATCAAGTGAATATTGGAAACAAAAAAACCAACAGCGCCGTTGTGCCTAGAAGTACACAGTACTTCAGATTGCTCCGATCGAACCTTGAAAATGATCTCATATCATCAGTGACCGGCGAACAATACATACTTTGTGATTTTTGAGAGTACTTACAGTATTTGTATCTCCCTCAACTTTAAAATCACAATAAAAAATTACCAATATGCACTTACACCACGAGAATAAATTGTCATCTACCAAAATACTTATTTGTACATTACTATTATTATGATTATATTATTATTATAGAATGTATTCTCGAGATTTGTCGTTATTATTGTAATAGTTTTGAGTAAAAATTAAAAGGGATGGATAGGTACCAATAACGTTACTATGTTTTTTCGCTCGAAATGTTCAAATCGCAAAATAAGTTTTCAAGTCCACCCGCCGACATGAGATAATTCTCCAAGTTTTTACTAACAGACCACTAACACCCTGTACGGTGCATGTATGCACACGGGTATAATACCTAATACATGTATACACTTTGTTGGGTATTTGAAAATCCTCATATACACCTATTTCGCTGTGTACATACTACATATATACCCCATACGCGAATATTCAAGCCACTGAGGGATTTTTTTTATATATTACACGTTTGTCGGACCCGAAATACGTTGGCGAGAGCCACGCGGATTTCGTCGAAAGTTTTCTTATAATAATCGCAGAAGAGGTCAGGCGCGTTCAAGCACTATAAATTGAAAAGTCTTCGCAAAGTTCACGAAGGTTTTTTCCGCTCGAGATTGAAAGAAAAACACGAGATCCCGAAAGCCCACACACGCCCACCGCGGGGGTTTAAGGTTTACGTGATGGTACAAACCAACACACGTCACACTTACACACACGTTTACGCTTACACTTAGTGAGGGAAATACAAAACAATAATACTCACGTTGTCCGTCTCGGCAGCCGCGTCAGAGTGTACGCCGGACGACGATGCGGAAGACGAGTGCCGTCCCAGCCCGCCGTTGAGAGTGGCACAACCGTCGTGCACGCTTGTCTGAGGTCGACTCTGAGAACAAAATGGTAAAAGAAAAAAAAAATTAGTAAAAATGTCGTCGAAACCGTAGAGCTGTAGACTGCAGGTGGTGGTGGTGGTGTCAAAACAAATTATACTATAGTGATAAGCGACAGGGGGGGGGGGGAAATTTCATAAAACGTGGTTATAGGTAAGTTAGTCACATCATCAATATTCACGATACCGGCAATTCTTAATACCCGAGCTTGAAAATTACAAATAATTATTAAGAAGACCATCAAATGTTTTTTTCTCCGTCTTACAGGTCGGTAACATAGAATCATGTACGTTCTTCTGTTTTTTTTTTTTAATTTCAATATGTTAAGTGTGCCTATTATTAAACATAAACGATATTTTATGTTGTAGCATGGAGTGTTTTTTTGATATTTTAATTTTAATACAACTCATAGGTATTGTGTAAAGTAATACAATTTAAAAATAACCATTACTCGCTTCAAAATTAAAGTATTGAATGGATAAATCCTATAAGTTCGAATAAGCCATAGTAATGTGGCAATTACTTTTATCTCTAATACTGTGTACATTAATTACTTTGACCTAATAGGTGTAAAACTGAATAAAACCCGTCCAATGGCACCCAAAAATCGTTACGCTTTAAAAATACAGTGATAGTTACGTAAACTGTATTATATTGTAAAAAATATAGTTTATGGACCATTGTTATTTTTAAATCGTAACGGTGGCCGAATGCCAAGATTAACTTAACGGGTTATAAGAATATTGTCCACTATAAACTTTTATTGATACTTAAATTCAAGAGAGAGTTATGAGCATTTTAAAAATTTAATATTTCAACTGAATACACATTTTCTGCTGCGCGTGTATGGTCAGAAAGTGATTAAACAAATATCGTGCGCAAAATTCCTCTCCAAAGATATTAGCACGGAAATGAATTGGATATTTAAAAAAATAATAATCCATCCATTCATCCATCACCATAATATTAAACTATTATGATTTCGTAATTATTTAATTCCAAACAAATAGCTTTTAATTATTACTTATAAGTCATAACATCATGGTTGTAAAGGAATATTTTCTGACGTGAAACGTGACATTTTCGATTTTCAAAACTAGTGGGTAGTATATACCAACTGCGGGGATTTATATACAATTATTATTTGAAACCGCTGTTGATCGTATTCCCACAACACCCACGCTTTAACTGACAATAAAATAAAGGTTACTTTTACGTTGACTTGTGTACAACCTATCGGCTAATTACGCAATGTTTGGTGGACTAGGGGTTGAGGGAGAGAGTGGAGCACATTTTAGCTCGTTTCGCGGTTTTCGTCGCTGGTCCGCATAATATACATTATAATATTATATTATTATACCGCACGATAACGTGGCGGTTAAGATTAAATCGCGTTCAATTATTACGGCACTCGCGAACGCGCGCGTCGACTTGCAGGAATTGTTTTTACCAATTATAAATGCCGACAGGCAATGGTGGCGAGACGACGAGGAGGAGGGGTATTTTAATCCAGGATTTATAAACACGCCCTTTCCGGGAACGCCAATGTCGTGCCTATATTCATAATATACAGGATGATACACCAAGCACACTCTCACTCCTTTTATCCTATAAACTTGCATTTTTTTTTTTTTGGAATATTCAAAAGTAAAGTATAGCATGGTTTTAAAATATGTACCGAGAATTTTTTTTTACTATTTAAGAAAGCAGTGTATTGTGGTGGTACAAACAACTTTTTTCAAACCGTTCGTATGTATTTAAATCGAAACATACGCAATATTTGGTCTGTCTAGTACTTGTTATACTCTTGCAATGTTCACGAACTTATTATACAACTCTGCTAATACCAATAATGTAAATATAATTTTTAAATAATTATAACTGCTATATTATGTTTAAAATCTATTATATCTTGGACTAGCATCTATTATTAGTGAAAAATAATGATTTAAAGCCTTAGAAAATAATCATATGTATTTTGGTTTAGATGCATTAAACCTCAAGAACATAATCTGGTTAACGAGTGGCGTTAAAAAAGGGTGGTTCTAATTTTAAAAAAAAAGTATTCAAAAATATTATATTCTTTCTGCGTATAGTTAAATATTCCAAAATCTGAGATTGAATAACTTGAGCAAAAATTGGGATATTAGCAAAATACATGGAGATTCACCCTGTATAGGGTACGGTATAAACCAAAATACGCACACACACATACACACACACACACACGTATATTTGTCTATACAGGTGAAACTCAGTGTTGATGGGGTATATATACACGCATGTTTAAACGGAGTTACATTAATTAAAACTAAACAATTCAAACAGTCACACCCACACTTACGCACGCACACGATGTACCTGGCGGTAGTGCTCGTATACTAGGTAACGCACTGAAAAGTCTAACGATTAATGAACGGCATTTCGCAGGGTTCGCTCGCCACCGCCTCCACCCACTCGCACCCTCCAACCCACATCACGTCTGTTGAACGCAATGGCTTTCTTTGCGATGTCTCGTTGAACGTCGGCATATACCATCAAACCTCAGCAGAAATGTAATTCTCTTTGATATCATACGACTCCACATCTCCTAAACTATTATATAGTAGATACAGTTCACACGGTTTCCGACCACGGAGGTTAAAAATCGTTTTCGTGAAAAATCAGGGCCTTAATCATTTTGTATTAAAAAATAGTGTGCGCCCGGACTCCCTATTATATGACATTATGACAATCGTATGCGATCGTCAAGTTGACTTTGTACGCCCTCGGGCAAAGCGGAAGTAAAAATCGATGATAGTATGATGCCTAGTGCATGTGTATTACTAACTATTTTTAATTATTTTTTCAGTATAGGTTTTTACTGAGGTGGGAGATTATTTTAGCCCTTGCAGTGGTAGAAGCGCTGACCTAATAATTTTCTACAATGTCCGTTGCAGGTTAAGAGGAGGAGTAGGAAATACCCGGTACCTATATATAGGTATCGGGTAATTTTCACGATTGTACAATATATGACGGTTCTTTATATCTTTCAGTAGAGTTACAAGTACGCATATGCACGTGGTATTTTATAGGTGTAAACATATTAAAAACAAAAATAACGCGTTGGATAACACACTATTATCCCGACAATAGTGGGTGAGGCTTTCGGCAAACCCTAAGACTTGCCTTAAAAGTTACATAATTTAAAACCTAACCATATTATAAATATATCGTACACATTTTACGAGTATTGTGCTGTATATTATATAAATATGGTCCGCATCATAATTGGATGTTAAGATTAACAATTTTAAATTCAAAGTCAAAACGATAACCTACTACCTGCTACCTACTACACAAGAATAAACAATATTTCATAGCCGTAGTAAAATAATTAACACCAACAATTCATGACCTGATGTTAATATTATACAATTTAATAAATCAACATATCAAAAAAAAAAAAAACACAATGTTATATCTGACGGTTAAAATGTTTTTAACGCGAATGTTCGATGCTCATTGTTTGATAAATTATGTAAAACCATCGAAACGTTTTTATTGTTTTAAACGCCTGTCAAAATTATATAATAAATAGATTTCCGACGAATTTTCTATGTTTATAAAAAACAACAACAATACAATACTCGTGACAGGGCGTGCATGCGTTACATGCATCATCGATTCAACAGTGAGTTGGAGGTGTACAGACAAATAATATTATAAAATAAAACGCGTTGCTATTATTGTATTTTATCGAACCAACTGAGAGAACCGACGATACAATTATACTAATATATAGTTCATAACTTTTTTGCGCGTACATAATTCAACGTTCTGTCTAAATGGAATCGAAGTCTGAACGCTGTCCCACGGTGCGGTTTTCCGCATGTACTTCGTATAACGACCTTCTGACGGCGAACATAAAATGATAATAATATATTATATGGTATTCTTTCTTTATCGTTTTACTCTTAGATACTCGCCGTAGAGTATTTCGTCCGAGCGTTATTACACGGAGTGATTCGCCAACCATGTTCAGTGATCATCAACATTTTTTCTTCTAATAATAAAGTTATTCAAATTCTAAATCTTGGAAATCGTCTCGTATACTTGGAACATAATTTCAAATCCTTAAAATATTTGTACCATTTAAGAAGAGTCCCGTGGTGGTACGAGTTCATTTTTTCCAAACCATTTTTTTATAGAAAATCGTTACGCAAATGATTATTTTTTAAATATATACATGCATCTAAATCGAAATTTGAACAATTAATTGTTGAGTTATTGTAGCGAATTAGAATTATTGTATTAATAATATGAGCTAAGCAAAAAAAGAAGCAAAGAGTTTTATGTCTCACTGACGAATTATTTATTTTAAACACAAAAAAAAATGACACTGCGTGTCACTATGATGGGGGTACGATAGTAAAAGTGCGCACGGCGGGGAGATGAAATCTACCGAACGGTATGACAGTAGGTGCAATGCCGGATAAACTGACTATTGCACTATTGACTGATATAAATACGGTCCGATAAATTTTTGGTGTGGAGGCTTCTACCTTAAATGCGCAAGTCTGCCCGGGTGGGTCTTGCTACAGATCAGGTAAAAGAATGATAGCTGATCGACGGTCGTGCGGCCTTTTATACGCGGCTTATCGACGATTATTTCAACCGGTCTCGTGTTCTGTGACAGAAACCCGAAACCGCAAAAGTGCAATCGCCGATAAACGTATAAATAATAATTATATAATTAAGAAAAGAACTAGATAATAATAATTATAATAACAATATGATATAGTAATGTAAGGTGGGTGGGAGGGCAGTGGTGTGCGTTATCTTTGCGACTGTGATGTGAACAGTTACAGAACTTTAAATAGATACTAAGGATAATTAGATAAGTAATGAATAATAATAGGGTTTTGAAAATATGCGCACCATAATGTGTACAATTCACTAAAATATTTAAATGCATTATAAAAATTGTCTGAGTATTGTCTTACTAATAAGTCAT